GGTCACTTGGAATATGTATAAGAGAGAATAGAAATATAGAATCAGAGTATAAAGAAGTATAGGAATAAAGAAACAAAAGAGAGAATAAAAGAGGCATCGCACACATAAGGCGCATAGAGAGGGGGGTTTGTTTCTGAGAAATCTGGAATATCTCAATACACAGAAATACAAGATACACCAAAAAGAAAAGAAAAATAGAAAAAAAGAAAATAAACTAAATTACGGAAAATACACCAAACAGAAACCCCCAAATTAAAACACACTAAGCCCAACTAAGTCAATTTCGCCCATATTAAACCACCGTAAACCACCGTAAACCAACTAAAACCAGCTAAAACCCCAAATAACGGGTTGATCCCGTCTCAACCAATGGGACACTCATTGTGGAATCGGGTACCTTATTTTCAAAACTTACCATACAAGCTTGGAAAGTCGAGCTAAACCATGAACACTTGATCCTTTGAAAAAAACAAAAGAAAAATCTCAATTCTCTTATTTCTCTCATTTAACTACATAAAATGGTCCCCGGGGCCATATTTGATATTACCCTATGGAGTACAATATAGGTCGCTACCTAGTAAATGTAATCATAATATTATATTGCCACTGTCATACAACATACTCACATACATTATATAAGAACTATTTGCTTATCACATCTGTATAATCCCCTCAGTGTATTTATCATCTGACCGCAGTGGATGCACGGCGCCTAATAATTGAGGAGGTTGGGCATACAATAATTGTGTGCAGCCTGTGATCGTTGCCCACGCAGTCCTAGTCTGCACTTTGTTTGGGGCGTGTCAGAAGGGGTTGGGCCGCCTTGGTAATTTATTTGACTCGAGCATTGGAATTGGTTGCCTTGTTAATGTCTAGGACTAACTTACTCTAATCTCTTCTTACAAAGACAACTCATCTGGACTTTGATACAAAAGTACATACTAAATCCCCTCGGTTACCCCGTCTTTGTACGAGTCACTTTCAACGGAGATGTACTTAGCTTCTCCGTCAATGTACTCCGTACCAGATGTATGTAAGATGTCCTACCGCAGACCCAGCTCGCAGACTGGGCGAGAACAGCAAGGAGAATCCTGTTCTCTCACGTTATTTCATGTTTGTTATGTCATGTCCTACCTTCAAACTTCTACTCTCTGCCGGTCACATTCTCACACGGATAGTAGAGCACCAGTCTTATTATTCGGCACCTAACGGACAATCCCTGTTTCAGGACGGAATACTTGCCTAGGTTGTGTTGGCTTCTTAAACTTTTGATATTCGTTTGACCAGATATCCTGCGCCTCGTTTTTTTTATTTTCCGCCACCTGATCTCCTGATGCATCGGAGCTCTAGAGAGAAGAGGTGTCTCGTTGTCTCTTTTCTGACTGATCCTCCGCCTGGTTGGAGCCAATCATTATACGTAGTACGGAACACCGGGGTAAGATGCTGGCACCGGCCATGTGGAAGAGAATTGGTAAACTAGATTCACGGGTGGACGGAAAGGTTCGCGGGATAGAAAGGCAAGTAGACTTAAGCCGCGATGAACTGGTGATTGCATATGATGGGTTCACTCTTTGTTCAAAGGTACACGGGTCTGGACCCGGTATGCTTGGGAGATCATTGACAGGTTTCTCCTCAGCCGTCTCCGATTGGGAACAGCGTAGGACTTGCCTCGCGTATCTACTTAGATTTTCTTTGTTGAAATATCCCGTCTCAAATGACTCGCGTAGTTAGTGTGTCTGTTGCCATGGATGCCGGATATGTTGACGTACAAAATTATAGAGTCTAGCACATGCTAACTATGATACTTTGTAGACTCCAATCAAAGTGATGACAGTAAGATCATAAACCAAGCCCGTTCTGGCAAGTTTGCGGGAAGTCTCTAACCGCATCATTCTGGTTTCTCCACTAACTTTCAGAAGCTAAGGGATGTTCGCAGTCCGGAGAACACAGACGTGGAAAAAGCAGAGGTGATCAAAGTCAATGGAGCCCGACTCTTACAACATATACGTACACCCGGAGTACGGAGTACGGATATTGTAATTACCTGCAGGAAGCGGGATGGAATGCACCTGTCAGATATGGACGAACCCTGGGGCGACCGTTGTGGCGGCCGAGACCCCCAAATTCACTACTCTGCAAGGCTGATTTGAATAGAATTTGACCAGTCCATTCCAACTCATCAACTCATAACACCCACTGTTTCAACGTTCGGAGTCCGCCCCTTATCCGATCTCTGCATGGAATTTCCTTTTTTTTTTCAGGTACATAAAAGTATACGCAAACCCAAGGCCCGTACCGAGACAAAACCAAGGTTCGGATTTAGTGGGCCGATTCACTTTTTTTTCATTTTTATTTTTTTTCTTCCTCTAGACCGCAAATGTTGTGACCATTCGGGTAAACAAATAGGACGCGACGTGGAGTACACACCGTGTACAATATACGATCTGGAGTTGTACACCAAATACCAGACAACATTCACTCTCAGAACAAGTCCACTTTCTCTCACTTTCGAGTCTTTATGATTCGTTCAGTGGGGTTTACTACTCCACGCGCACCAGCCACAGGCCAATCATCACCGATCAAAGATTCAGTAGTACGATGGAGTCGATGCGCCAACAATGCCATTGGTCCTATCACCGAAGACAGCTCAAAGACAGCCCACTTTGTACAGCTATTGTACCTATAATGATGCGCTCTTATCCCTCACAAACGCCTAGTCACGCACCGTCGATTCGGGGGAATACGGAAATCTCCACAGTGGGCTCATCTAGGCCCGTCCCAGGTACCCGCGGAGGACGCGGAGTCCCCCTATAGGGGGAAGGATGGCAACGTCGCCACTTAGGAAAGGAAACTATTTGCTTCCCAAACTGCCGGGAGGCGCCGTTCATTTCATGTTCCTTAGCCTTCGAGAAGGTGGTTCCTAGCAATGTGATCATCCAATATCCGAATGTTTGCGAGTCAACGGTCTCCAGATGGGTTCATTCCTGTTTAGACCTTACGACTCCATAATGCGAGAGCTTGTTGGGGGTAAACCTACCTTGGCCAACCTATTACTCGTTGCCCTCCTAGCAGGTCCCTTCCCCGGAGACTAAACAAGCTGACAACCGACAAACACATGATCCCAAGGACGTCCGTCCCGAGCTTCCTACGGAAACTTCCTAGTGACCGTTGTCAAATTACCTTGAGGGATTTACACCTTCGATTTTCGACACTACCTCCGACACTAATTTACGTCGGCCCACAACAAACGCCGAAATGTCCGTGTGTGAATTTCCAGAAGTCATGGAAGGCACGGGAAGGACACCCCCTTGATCGCTGGGACTGTCAGATCTGAGTCCAGTAGATTATCAGTCCCACTGCCCACGAGGTGACCTAAATTAGCTTGAATTGGCTGGATTTGGGCGTTCAGCTACTTTCATTAGAGTCCACTGTCATTTAGAGGGGTTCCACTGTCACTCCAGTAACCCTTAGGTTGTAGCTTTAATATATGAAGTTGTTGCGAATCGGGAAGGTGTCTACACCATAATAAACAGCAAGAGACAAGCCAATTCTGTCAGCTGAAGAATTACCTAGCACTAGCTCTCAATTCTATCTAGTATATGGAGTATATAGTGGCGGTGCCACTTGCTAGTAACTGCATACCACAGATTTTTTGCGTTCAGCTCCCGGGTATATTTAGATCGCCAGCTAAGGCGGCCGCAATGACTTGCGTACCGCAGTAATGTAACTACCTACATTGCGAAGTGATAGATGCCCCTCCTTCTCCCTCCCCTGACCCTGTCGTGCTGCCCAAACTGGGTCCTTTATGTGTGTCATACCTAACTAGCTTGTTCCATCACTTTGGGAATAATGTCCGTGGTCCGGTTGGTTTTGAAACTAACCCCTGTTGAGACTGGGGGTGCCCCTATTTTGCATGCACATGCTGTCAACCATGCTTCTATTTGAGGATCTTGCTCCGCTTCTTCTATGGTTTTCTAGAAAAAGAATAGTGTGGTCTTAGATGCCGCTGGCTTGAATTGAGGAGAGAATCCTGTTTGATTTAATCTTACTCCTTTTTGAAGGTAAGAGGCTTGTTTTCTCTACTATTGCCTTACTAAGGAATAGACTCAACACTCGCTGTCTTCGGAGCCTTGAGAGGTTGCCTTGGTTACAGGTGTTCTATGTTTGCTTTTTCAAATAATAATACGCCATCCTTATAATATGTATGTAATATTCGCTTATGTGGCCTTGTAATATGTTTCATTGGTGGTGTTTTTGAAGGTCTTTGTCGATGTCTTCTCGGTTAGTCTCTTATGTCTTTTTTTAGATAAACATTCCCCCTTATTAGTTTTATAGCTAGAAGGATAAGAAGAACTCGCCACAAATATATAGTATAGTGAGAATAGTGTCAAAAGAATGTTTCTTAGTTCAGTGATACTCCTTTTTGAAGGAGTTGGAAGAGGTTGTTTTGCTATCTCTATCCCCTGCTGAACAACAGACTTGACATCCAAAGTAGTCTTGATTATGTTGTGTGTTTGCTTTCCAGAACACAGTGCCTTTCATATTGTTTGATTAGTGATGGCTTCGGTTTTCACTACCTATATGATATTTACATACTCAGCTGTGTTCTCAACTATTATAAGTCTACGTTGTGGTTGATAATGATACCCTGAACTGGTCCTCTTTTCCTGGGATCATTTTCGTTTTTATATATTCAGTCCTTCTTGTTAAGCAGAGCTCCAAAGCCAAAAAGAACAAGCAAAAACTTATTTTCATTATGGAAAAGCAAATTCGAGGTGATTGCAGTGGCCAGTCCAAAGCCCTCACTTTCGGAAAGAGCAACCCACGCAGCTTCTCATTGTGCCTGCCCCTGCCAGTATAAATCGACTACTGTCCTTCCTCCCTTTCTGTTTTTCTTCTTCTTTCATCTCCAACCACTGCAATCACCCTGTGTAGTATCCTGCGAACCCATGCAATTTTTCAACTGAGTCTTCCGCCTTTCTGAAATACACCATTTGATCATGCCTCAGCAACGGAGACGGCCCCCCTTGAGTCCATTTGCACGGGGATATACACCGCAAATGAGAGAGGCGTCAGTCAACCAAATCTCACTTTAGCAAGCAAGATGGTCGCTAACAAGGTTTCAATAGAGTGGACCGAATGCCGATTCCAAACGAGTCAGTATTTTTCTCCATCTTGATCTTCACTTGCTAACGGTCATAGAATCAAATGTTGCGTCTGCAAGCGATGTCGCCCGAAGTCCCAGTACTCAAACAATCAACTAAACTACCTCCGCCAGGCAATGTTCGATATCGGCTACAGTAACATTCGTGACCAGCAGGTTGCTAAGTGTGGCCCATGCACGAATGCTCAGGTTTGTGAGGAGCTGTGTCATCATTGCGGTCATTACCGTGCCATTGACCAATTCGCCCGAAACCAACGAAATCGCGAGAATCCGGTATGTATTCTTTTCTTGGACTATGCACTGTGCCTGCTCCTAATACTTGGTTGATCTCAATAGCTCTGCCAGCCCTGCATGAACTACCAGCTGTCCCTCGATCCTAACGACCAACCTCTTGCAATCACAGACAAAGTTGTGGTTCAGAAAAAGATACGGGATGAGGAAGAGGAGCTTAAGTTTGAGTCTGCGGCTCTTTCTGTATCTGGATCTGTTGCTCGGTCTGGGTCTGTTGCTCGGTCTAGGTCTGTGGCTTGGTCTGGGTCTGTGGGACGCCCTGCGTCTGTCAAGACCTCTGACTCTCTAGGTCGACCGGTAAGTGATCAGAACTATATTTACTCTAGCCAAGTCCTGATTACTCACGAATACACCTTTACTGCAGGAGAGCCTGGATCAAGGCTTCGAGAAAGCTCTTGTCCTGCGCGATAATTCCACGGATAGTGAGGATGATGGTAAAGGGAATCAGAGCGGCTTTGCACGAGTCAAGGTAGGTGACTTCATTTCAGCAAAACTTCCTTCTGCTCCGGATGGACTTTCAATGAAACTTATGTTGTATAGGCGCACCGTGCTCGTCAGAAGCCTGTTCCCGCCCCCCAGCTCGCTCCAGGCTGGGCACCTGGCACACGCAAGATCAATGATGGCACTCCTTGGAAAGGAGGACGGTTTCTCTAATTTTTCCAACATCGTGCCAATGCATTTCCTACGAGCAACACTCGATTTATGACTGACGATGCTCCAACCTATCAGCACTTTGGTTGCTAGGTTTTGCCTAGTAGTAAAGTGCGCGGTTTGCTCTATTTTTCTTTTTTTTTTTCTCTTTTATCTTTTTAGTATTCTTGGTTTCTCGCTTACTTTTGCTTACACACGGCTCGGCTCCTGCATCTGCCCATGATGCCCCTCTGTCTACAGACAGTATTTTTTTTGGGGCTTTTTCTTCGAAGGAGTCGGGTTTCTAGTGGTTCCAGTCCTATGACTATTGCATGTCTTACAGGCAACTTTTTTTCCATATTCTGATTGACAGGGCTTTTATCTACAGGGGTGGACTTCTAAGTCCGTGCCTGATATAACTCTGTCTACTGGTTTTATTTTTCATTTTATTTTCTAGGGTTGACTTTGTTTTATGAAGAGCCCGGTACCAATCCAAGTTTACTTCGAAGTTTGTTTTTCCCCTTTGGACTTGGGAGGCAACATCACCATGGGTATGACATCGGTGGTTCCGTTGTGGATCCCACCTAAAAATAAATCAGCAGTTTTGTAGTTCGAGTTCATTACTATAAATCAGTATTCAGGCATGTTCCAGCTATTTCTGGTAATAGAAAGGCATGAGGGACAATAGCAAATACCTTGCATTTGGGGCTTCTGATAAACTTTTGGTCTTGCTCGCTCCAATAATAGTATCAGATCACAATGTGAGAATGGATGAGAGGAGGGCATCCCTGTAGAATATGTACTTTGTATAAGGCCGCAATAATACTCTGATCTGTCGATCGATGCCCTAAGGGTTAGATCCCAGCCGACAGCTGGCAATGACATAGCTCGATATTTGAAATAATGTCCTTCACTAGTCTGATAGGTGCAAGGGAAACTGCAATGCACGTACCGCATGGAAGATGCATGGATCGTAGTGCATAGCGACCACTGGGGACCTTTGTCCCATTGGCTTTTAGAATTCACCGCTTGCCTCTCTTTCTTCGAGATCATCTCTAACGCTATAGAATGGAGTACTTGAATTATATCAGCCCAATGAAGGCTAAGGTTCTATAGAAGTTTATATTGCAGACATTATCGCTATAGTTCCACTACGGTGTCTATTTTTCAATACCAGTTTCAAATCTATTGATGCCTTTTTAGATGCCTCGACAATCAGTCGCAAACTGTACAAAGTAGAATGAGATAAAAAGCACACTTCCTACGAAACTGCTTTTTCGCATATAATATCCATACTAGAAGTGCTCATCCGATTAACTATTACACTATAACAGCCCAAAAAGCCACATACAAAATAGATGGCCAATCTATGGCAATAAAAGCCAATAGGACCAAGGTCCAGAGTAGTCGCTATGCACTACGATATGCATGCTCCATTAATCTGCCGATCGTGTCACTCTGACCCAGCCTAGGAATATGACAGAACATCTGTGGGACTTTAATATAACAAAGAGATAATATGCTAAGAAACGATGGTATAATGTGACGTCGAGGGAGTACAAAGAGAATGAATCTCAAATCTGTCTCGCTCTTAGTGACGATGGATCGCCACAACGTTTCACTCGCCCCCCACTAGCCCCTCCACCATAATTTATTCGTAATTCGTAATCTTTCACTTCTTCTTTCAAGAACTTTTCCAACCCGAGTCCTTTATTTGCAGCAGAGGATTACAAGTCTTTGTTCAAAGACAGCAGCTCAGCCTCTCATCTCACTCACTTTCCGAACCCTCGTATGGCCTACAATGGAGATTACGCCAGGAATACATATCAAACGGGGAACATAAGCCCGGACCCAAACGAATCTGGGTATTCACCTTCACCTCCATATCCATCCTACTACGAATCAGCCCACTTGAACATGCCGCAGCCGCAGGTGCCGCGGACTGGCTCGCCGGCCCCAAATCCAACCCCAGAGCCGTACAGCTACCCGGAACCCCAGCGCTCCCCCCCCAAACCCAAGCACTGGGCACATTGACGATGCAGTGAGCTCTGCATTTCACAGCAGTGGCTCCACGGGCTACCTCTCCCCTGAGGTTCTCTCGCAAATTACAGCAACAGTGATCCAGCAGCTCAAGACAACTGGGTTAGACAACATACAAGGATCCGGTGCGCCCCCGCCCCGCTCGCAATCGCAGCAGCCGCCATGGCAAACAGATGGCTCGTTGTGGCCGAACGCAGAGTCCCCTCCCATGCCCCCGCTGCGAAGCAGTTCAATCTCCCCGCCCAGTTCGGCCTCCGACAATATCCATACTGGGAATTTCCAGCCGTCTGTCCCATCCAATTACCCTAGTGAAAGCCGTCTTAGCCCGAAAACTAGTCCCGATCCTCTTGTGGAGAGACGCGGTTCTATATCGAGTCAGAACAGTGATCGGAGTCATCAAAGCCACCACAAGACGGAGCGTCCCAAACCTCCGGACCGCGACGCTACTGTTACGGAGATGACTACTCTGGAGCGCATTTGGGGGAAATTATTTGAGGATGGTAAGGCGACGAAAAGGCTTGGCCAATTCTTACGTGGGATTGCGGTTCATCTAGTATGTGTACCCTTGTCTGATCTGGTATACTATGGATTTTAATGGTTAACTTGAGTAGATTGAGGACTATCCGCCGGGAAACACTCTTGTCATTCCCCCCCACAAACTGCAAAAGTTCTATCGTGATACCCATGATCCGAATGACCCTTACCCATGGCAAGGTTAGTGTTTTGGTCTGTTCATTGACATACTATTCTTCTGACTAAACATTTAGATATTTTCGACGATCGTACATCTTCGATATCCCGACTATTCCGCGAAATGAAAGTCGAACATCATCTTATTCAAGAGGATGTAGATAAACGCCCAGATATCCCAGGCCTCACACCAAAAGGTTTCGAGACCTGGGCAACCTTGATGATCCTCGCAAACCCAGGGCGCGAATACGAGCGGCTCCAAAAAGCAGTCCTCAACATGCCCATCAATAATCCAGATGACAAGAAAGAGCGCTTCCCAAAGGAGATCCCACGTCGCCTTTTCCCAGAAATCGGAGATATCAAAATCAGAGAAGACATCGAGGAACGCATGATGGTCCACTGCGGCGTTGATCTACCATATATCACCCCCGAAGAGCGCAACCAATCGGCCGCCCGACAAAGCCGTTCATCTACCACAACCGCATCACCCACAGAGCGAGCCCAGTCATATGAGCGAGGCCGACCTCGCCCCGCCGTCCCGACCCCAAAACCCGCTCAAAAACCACAGCCAAGACCCATCTCGACTACCGTCACCGACGACGAAGACGAACCCGCCCCCTCGGTACCAATCGAGCGCGAGCGCAAGCCCTACAGCGCCAATCCGGGCATTGGCAAAGTCTATGAAGAATCTGTCCCGAGCCGCAGCCATGCGGGCTCCTTCTCCAGTTCCCGGCCCTCGGAATCTACCTACAAGGGACCAGCATCCGGGCCAACCTCCGCACACCGCATGTCCGAGTCCTTCGACCGCGACCCGCACTACTCACGCTCAGGATCTGGTCATTCTGCCGATAAGCGTTTCTCGAACGACTCCCGCAGCTCGTCGCAGAGTTTGAATCACCGCGGTGGTGGTGGTGACTATAGACGTTCAGAGAGTGACTTGCATGGTCGTGATCATTCGGCTAGACATGCGGGGCTATCAGCGCACGATTTAGCGTATACTGAGTCGCCTACTGCGAATCTGAGTGAGGATGATGCGCGTAGGTATCATCGTGGGAGCCGGGGTAATGAGGAGGAGTATTATCGTGGGAGTGGGCAGGGCGGAGGCTCTGGTTCTTGGTATGATAAGTATGACAAGTATGCATACCGTTAAAGTGTGTTTTTATGCTTTGGTGTCTTTGGTCTTTTCTTTCGGTGAATATTGCATTTCGGTGTCATTTTTCTGTTCTTCTGGCTCTCTATTCCAATTTTCGGTCTTAATTCTGATTCTGATTTTTTTGGGCGTTGCATGGATACGAATATACCCCTGCTTTCTGGGGTTGTGCATGACTGACGATATCTCATATTTCATGATTGACGTTCCATTCTGTTCCGAATATATGTGAGATTATAATTTCATCAATAGCATCGGGAATGAAAAAGTGTAGTGCATACATACTCAAGTTGAATCCATTTCATCCTGCCGACTAAACCCAAACTTCCTCATTACCCTCTCCCCATCCTTTCTGACCTCCCCAAGCTGCCTCTCCCTCTCCTCCTCCTCCTTCTCATACCGCCGCGCAATAGCCCTAGCATGTCTTTCCTCGCGCTCGGCCCTTTTCCTCGCAGCCCTCTCTGCGCGCCTCTTATTCTCCAGCACGCGCTCATCACGCCTCTCAGCATCACGGCGCAACGCCTTAATCTCCTCATCAGTCAACACCCACGGCACAGACAAGACTTCAATAAAGAACCGCAGACGGGTATCCAAGAACTGCATTTCTGCGTTCGTATCACCCACGAGCCAGAACCGCTCGAGGTGTAATTGCATTTGCGAGCGGAATTTCGACAGTGTTCCTTTTACCCGGACTAGCGTTCCTGGTTGGAGAGCCGAGATATCTATCTCGGCGCGATCTTTGGATGTTATATGTGTTGTTTTAGTGAGACTGGTAGCTGTTGGTGCTGTGAGAGAGAATGAGGACCATGGTGTTTGTTCTGGGTCTGTGGTTGGAGTCTTTTGACTAGTGGTGTTGGGATTTGGTTCAGTCTTTTTTAGTACGGCTATGTCGATTGTTGCGCCGCTGCTGTCGTCTAGTGTTAGGATTGTGCGCCATGGAATATCAGTTCGCGCCACTATAATGCCTACTAGGCTAACGAATTGGATTGGGTGGTTGTTGTAAAAGAACATGTTTTCGCCTGCGTGATTTTTGTTAGTTATACTTTTATATATATAGATAAGCTTGGCTGCGTTTTGTTGGAGAAAAGGGAGCTATTGGGTAATAGGATGACAGGATATGTTTGGATATGTTGGAAAAGCATGACAGAGGGCATTGGAACAAATTTAGGAATTCAGATATAATGGACAGGGAGTATAGACAGCCTGGTGGAAGATATCAAATGAACTTTTTCACGCTAACGCCTCTTTTTCGAGGCTCCACGCTAGAGGTCCCAGAAATATGCACACGGGCGCTAGGCGCGTCGATCTCTAGGGGACACAAAGAATTGGCAGCAGGCTCGGGGAAAAAAATGACATACCCACAAAGTCCCTCGATGTTTGGAGACGATGCACATCAGCCGCACTCATTTTCACCCAGGTAAAGTGCGTCGGTGACGCCTTGAAGCAGAACGCGGGGTAGAATACGAGGTTCTCATTTTTGACCGTTGCCATTGGTTCATCTTTTTTCTCGGTATATTCTTATTTTGGAGATATCAAAAAAAGATATCAGAGTTGCATTCAAGACTGGAAGCTGGAACTGTTGAAGGTCGGCTTGGTGTCACGTGGTTATATATACACAAGGTCATCGGACGCGTTAATTTCTTGTTTGCTTTAAGGCAAATATTTTCGATGTCTTCATGGTGTGAGGCTCTGGAGTGTGTCTTGACGATACTTTGATGGATTTACTCATGACCACCTCTTGATATTCTACGTCATTGTGTCAAGGGAGGCTTCAACCAGCCCATAATGGCACTGGAGCACATATTGCTGATTTCTGCAGCACTGCTTTTAATACTTTTAACATACTCCACAACACCTATAGATAAATATGCCGATCCCCCTCCATCATCCTCTTCAACGGGTTCCTCGGCATCGCCTCCTGCCTCTTCCTCTCTTCCTCACTAATATCATCAACATTAGTCTCCTTCTCCCCCAATGCGACCCTAACTTCCTTCTCTGCATTCTCGTGCCCCGCAAAAGCGACAGTCAAAATCTCCCTCTCCAACCCGCCAACATGCTCCCACTCAATGCCCGCCTGAGTCAACATCTGACACCCCTCAGACTCGCCAACAAATGTGCCAGGCTCCTTAACTCCAAAATAAACCTTATTAATCCCCTGGCGCCCGCCCTCCGCCGTCCGTGTAATGCGCTGCACACACGGCACATTCCCAGACAGCCGCTTCCCGCACGGCTCCATTGTCACGTACATGATGAGCTTGCGACCGGGTTCTACGGGGAGGACTTCGCCGACTTGGTCGTCAGGAACTTTGTGCACTGCAGCGTAGTTGGCGAAGCAGCATTGCTCTGCGTGTGTGTTGCCTGCGAGCTCCATTGTGTACCCTGTTGAAAGGATCCGGTCGTCTTTGAAGGTGGGGTCATTGTCTTTGCGGGACAACAGGACTGCGCCGACTCGGAAGTTGGTGGGCCTTGGGGGTGACTGTTCCGCTAGGGAGAGACATTTTTTGATGTAGGGTATGTGAGGGGAGGTATTTGTCGTCATGGTGAGTGATGTCAAGTGCAATTAGGTTAGATTGTTCGGTGTGGGAGGTAGTTTGGAAAGGTTGTGGTTGTAGTTGTAGAATGAGGATTTCGAATTGAGTCCAGATATCTCTGCAGCTCTTGAAATCCGAACAGAGTGAAGTGGCGATGTCGATGAGCTTGGAGTGCTTGAAGGTGGGTGGATAGACAGGGCGGGGAGCAGCAGCAAAATGACGAAATGGCCCAGTCGCGTCTAAATCGCGTTCCGTTTCTACAACCTACGCTAGTGTAATCGCCACTTCTATTGGTCTTTCATCTATTAAATCCAAATTCGGTGTAATATACCAAAGCTGCACTCAGTTCTTCCTTCTAGTGCTTGAACAGCCTCAAAAGCAAAACACCTATTGTGTCACTGAAAACTTACAATGGCGAAAAACGCGAAACCCGAAAACCATACCTCAGACGAAGAAATGCCGTCTGTCGAGGAAGATCTCTATAAGATTCTAGGTGTTGCATCCGATGCAACCCCAGAAGCCATTAAAACAGCATACAAAAAAAGCGCACTGAGAAACCATCCCGGTATGCAAACTCACGCACGTCGGAAAACATCCAACATACTAACTCTAGAGCAGACAAAGTTAGCGAAGAATCCCGCGCAGACGCCAACGCAAAGTTCCAACGAATCGCACTAGCATACGGAGTACTCTCCGACGAGCGTCGACGAAATGTGTACGACCGGACCGGTAGCACGGACGAAGCCTTCGGCGAAGATGGCGATTTCAACTGGATGGATTTCTACCGCGAACAGCTGTCAGCAATGCTCGACTCGCGGGCAATCTCAGATTTCCAGAAGAAATACCAAAACTCAGACGAGGAGAAAAAGGATCTGCTTGCCGCGTATGAGACGCACCAGGGAAATATGGATGCCATCTACGATACCGTGATGTTGTCTAATGTACTAGACGACGATGAACGGTTCCGGGGTATTATCGATCAAGCCATTGCAGATGGGGAAGTGGAGGACTTCGAGCGATATTCTGAGGAACCCGAGAAGAAGAAACAGCAACGTGTGAAGAAAGCGCAGAAGGAGGCGCGGGAGGCAGAGAAGTTGGGAAAAGAGATTGAGGATAAGAAAAAGAAGAAAGCTGGGTCGGCAAAGAGCTCGAAGGCTGCAACTAAGGAGGATGATCTTCTGGCTATTATCACTAAGCGCCAGCAGGATCGTGGCGCAGGTTTCCTCGCTCGTTTAGAGGAGAAGTATGCGCAACCTGGGAAGAAGCGTGGTGTCGATGATGAGCCTTCTGAGGAAGCATTTGCTGCTGTTGGGGCTCGGAAGGGGACAAAGCCTAAGTCGAAGAGGGCTAAGGCTTGAATTGGGGTCTTTGTTCCATCCTCTAGCATTCATGTATCATGTCTTAAGCGTTTATCATGTAGCTTTATTAGAATTTTTGTAATTGCATACTAGTATGGTACCTTTTCATCTGGCTATAACACTGACACAGGGGAAAAATAAAAAGACAACTAAAAAATATCTTAAAAGGATATCCAAAAAGACATGTAGAAGATATCCGAGCATGCAGCCACTGTGGCTGCAGTAAAAGCCTCACCTTCCTTCTCTTAGTCTTTCTTTCTGTTTTCTTCTTTGAGTTTTTTTTTTTCCCTTTTCTACTCCAAGAAAATATATGTATTGTCTAGATTCTGATTGCCGAATATCGATCATAGTCTGCAAGTATCGAGTGTTGCCTTGATTTGTGACTTTTCTGACTACTGTGTGAGCTGTCAGATCCATTTTCTTGAATTCTTCAGGCTGATCCATTGCAGCTAAACCCGGGACACATTCCCAGCACCGTCATCATAGGGCGATCTACTCCACATTCTTCAGTGCTTGGCGGAGTTGAAGTGCTGAGTTCCCCACCCCGGAGGCGGTGCGCCATGTCGTACCACACTGGTCGAACTTCTTCCACCGAACAACTGAAAAGCTTGGATGGTCGTACAATATCAACGACAATAACCGAAAAACCATCGGGTATAAGCCGTGCCCTCCAGAGCCTGCTTATTTCCCCGCAGTTTAAGAGTGCGGGCGGGACAAGCTATTCGCCCAGAACAGTCGAGCCACTCGTATCCTCGCCTTTGCGCATCAGTTCTTCAGATATGGCATCCGCTCCAAGTTCTCCGGAGAGGCACACCGCCGATCGCGAGGCTCTTACTCGTAGATCATCCGATCAAGCCGTTGACACTGTCCATTCAACTACGCGTCGTCTTAGTGTTGACGATAGTGCAAAATCTGATGTCCCTTCTACTTCTTTAGAGCAGCCACAAGTCAAAAAGCGATTTTTGCAGGCTCGCGACAGGTCCCAGAGTCGCAAGGGTGTGGCTGCCATAATGTCTGGCCGTCTCTTCCCGAGAAGCTTTTCTCGTGGTAGAGACAGAGACTCATCACGGGCATCTTCCCAGCGTGGATCATCTCTGGACGCCCGTTCTACCCCTTCGCCAGAACGGGGTCGCCCCAGTTCATCTAGCAGTCATTCTGTTCATGTTGAAACCTTGGCTCCCGCCCCTGTTGGTTCAGAGACGGGGAAGTCGCTCAACATGCACGATACATTCAACAAGTCAGATGAGGCACTGCCCAAACCCCACGGAAGCATGCCTGATTACATCAAACCCACAGCCGTGGAAGAGGGAGGGGAGCGACTAGCCAAGGATGTTTTCGATCGTGACAAGAACATGATTGAAAGCAGTGAAGATGAAGATACTTCGAGCGACGAAGACAGCACACTGGATGGTGAAAGAGGCCGCAAGAAAAAGAAGCATTCGGATATCACATCTATAACGCCAAGTGACTTTGAAAAATCCAAAAGTGACAATTCCAAGCAGTCCGAAGAACGTATGTTGCCTTCTCGGGATTTCTGTTAAAAAGGGGAAATTCAATATGCTAATCTCACATTGTATAGAAAAAGCTTCCGAAAATCCAAGTGGGCGGCAGGAGAAGAAGCCGCGAAAATCTGCTTTGAAAGCTGTGGTCCATCCACAGACCAGTTTCGATATTCCCACCCCGCGTGTTCAGTCGGTGGCTGGCACACCGTACGGCTCAGAGGATGAAGCTGAGATCGGCGACATACACCGTGCTCAGAAGCTCGGCATTTCCATGTCAGCTATTGATAACGGTGTTCACAACCGATCCATCCGAACAATTGTCCGCGGGAACTTTTCAAGTCAGCAGGATCAAGGCGATGGGAGAAGCCGTCGCCATCGGAAATATTTAATCGCAACTGACTTGAGCGAGGAGTCGGTTTATGCCCTTGAATGGACTATTGGGACGGTCCTGAGAGACGGAGACACGATTTTCGCTATTTACGCCATGCACGAGGACTCCACTACTGCGTCAGCAGTTCAGGTCGGCGAGGGAGCCAAAGCGATGAAAGATGCAACGGCTGTCGTTGGGACCCAAACGAAAGAAGCAAATCAAAATTATGGATCCCGTACGATCCTGGGTCGACTTGGCCCTAGTACTGGCCCTGCTAGCAAGAGCCATTCTGCTGATTCTCGGGCATCGTCAATAGCTGAGGCAGAACGGATGAGGGCAGTTGAGACTGTGTCTCAGACCTGTGTGAAACTGCTACGGAAAACGGTCTTGCAGGTCCGCATTGCCGTGGAAGTGATCCACTGCAAGAACCCGAAGTCTATGATCACTGAAGCTGTAAGTGTTTTCTCTGCTCTCAACCTCTACCTTCGAGCCATACTCACAACGACTTCCAGATTGATGAACTTGAACCAACACTCGTTATTGTGGGCGCCCGAGGTCAGAGTGCACTGAAGGGGTGAGTGACACTTGAATTTCTAGTTTGGTATCGTGCTGCTAGAGACAATACTAACATTATCTTTAGTGTGCTTCTCGGCTCGTTCTCCAACTATCTTCTTTCTAGCTCTTCCGTGCCGGTAATGGTTGCACGCCGAAAGCTGAAGAGGCATACGTGGAAGGAGAAGCTCAAGGGCACTACGAATGTGCGCCTATCTAATAATCTAATTACCCCGAAGAGTCTTGCTCAAGCCAAAGTGGACTGACTCGGTGCACTCTATTTCTTTTACTCTCTGGCTTGTATTTTCATGGATCGGATCATGGCTAGGCGCCTATCTTGCGAATGGTGCATTAGATCTGGATTCTCACTATCTCTATTTAAAGTGTATGGATACCCTATTTTTAATGAGCTCTAGATCTCACGTTATGATGGCTCTCTCTCTCCAGGTTTACTTTTCGTTCTTGATTCTAGTCTTCGGTATTATTATTGCTCGTCGTTGGTGCAATCTTGTTCTTGATTTCTCAGTTGTGGGGTCTAACATGCACCTTAAATGAAAGATGTTGGCCTCCACTGTACTTTGCATAATGTAAAACAGATATAGATTCCATATATTCCTGGGCTATTGCTTCATTCATAATATAGTAACTATGTATATTCCATGAATGGTACCTCAACGCTAAGAAATGCACTAACGATGGACATACCTTATCACGTGCAGTGTCACCGCCCAAGCTCCCCATCGAGACAGCTGGACCAACCCCCCAGTCCCACCTTTGCTATCTCCCCCATCGTTGCCTTTTCCACTCTGAATTTCACTCGTGGAGGATCAGATTCGCCATGGCTGATTTTATTGACCCCCGGATGTCCTCCATCAAGCCGCGGATGCGCTACAATACCATCGGAGGCATCAACGGACCGCTGGTTATCCTGGACAATGTCAGTTGACCTATGCTAATCCGACAATATGGTGGGAATTGTATACTAATGTTAAAATTCACTCAGATCAAGTTCCCCCGATACAACGAGATCGTTTCGTTGACCCTTCCGGATGGCACAGAGCGCAGTGGTCAAGTGCTGGAAGCCAGAGGTTCGTTCCCCACATTCTGCCGCTTAGGAGTATGAAAGCTGACTGCTATATGTACAAATAGGAAGCCGAGCTGTTGTGCAGGTGCGGACTAAGACCAATGCAATCACATGCAAGATATTAACATAGCTTATTTAGGTGTTTGAAGGCACTTCAGGTATCGATGTCAAGAAGGTACAATCACCCGCGGAAATTATTCGAATATCAGATATGCTAATAGGTAGCTCAGACTAGAGTCGAGTTCAGTGGCCACAGCTTAAAGCTCGGCGTTTCCGAGGACATGTTGGGCCGAACATTCGACGGCTCGGGACGAGCTATCGACAAGGGTCCCAAGGTGTTGGCGGAGGATTACTTGGATATCAACGGCCAGCCTATCAACCCCTACTCGCGAGTATGTGCTCTATTACCGATATGAGATGGAACCTAGAAAGCTAACGAATGGAACCAGGTGTACCCCGAGGAAATAATTTCGACTGGTATCTCCGCTATCGATACGATGAACTCTATTGCCCGTGGACAGAAGATCCCTATCTTCTCGGCCGCTGGTCTGCCACACAACGAGATCGCAGCAAGCATATGCAGGCAAGCTAGTCTGGCCAAACCCACGAAGGATGTCCACGATGGCCACGAGGAGAACTTCTCTATCGTCTTCGCCGCCATGGGTGTTAACATGGAAACTGCACGTTTCTTTAAGCGCGACTTTGAGGAGAACGGCAGTATGGAGCGTGTCACTCTGTTCCTGAACTTGGCAAACGACCCTACTATTGAGCGTATTATCACTCCTCGTCTTGCCCTGACCACCGCCGAATACTACGCCTACCAACTCGAGAAGCACGTCCTGGTTATCATGACTGACTTATCAGCCTACTGTGATGCCCTGCGTGAAGTTTCCGCTGCCAGAGAAGAAGTCCCCGGTCGTCGTGGTTACCCCGGTTACATGTACACCGATTTGTCCACCCTCTACGAGCGTGCCGGCCGGGTCGAGGGACGGAATGGTTCTATTACACAAATCCCAATTCTAACCATGCCTAACGATGATATTACGCATCCTATTCCTGATCTGACCGGGTATATTACGGAAGGACAGATCTTTATTGATCGTCAGCTCGACAATCGTGGAATCTACCCGCCGATCAATGTCCTACCCTCTCTCTCTCGTCTGATGAAATCCGCCATTGGAGAGGGCCGCACACGTAAGGATCACTCAGATGTGTCTAACCAGCTGTACGCAAAGTACGCTATTGGTCGTGACGCTGCCGCCATGAAAGCAGTCGTCGGCGAAGAAGCCCTGTCCTCGGAAGATAAGCTCTCCCTCGAATTCCTTGAAAAATTCGAGCGCACCTTCATCAGCCAGTCTCCCTATGAGTCACGCACCATTGAGGAATCCCTTGATATTGCCTGGAATCTCCTCCGCATCTACCCCAAGGAACTCCTCAACCGTGTTCCCAAGCGCACCCTGGACGAGTTCTACGCTCGTCACGCACGTAAGATCCCCAACAAGGATACCCGCGATAACTCGCATGAGAACCTGATCGATGCGTGAGACTGTGCTGTGTGATTTGTATCGCATATACTCCTATCTTTTGTTGTTGTTGTGCGGCTGTTCGTACTTTTCTTCGTTGTTTTTACATTATCGAATCTATTGCAGAGGTTGTTCCTGAAATTGCAGTACCGCCTTCCGAATTGGGCAAGACCAGGCTTCTGCCCAGGTGCTTACTGTACACTCCCGTGCCTACCTACCCCACTTCGGCCAACAAGGCCGCCCTTTGTACTCCGTACTCTCTTGTAGTTTCAGTATGTAGTATGATATCTCTAATATTCTTTTCCACTGCTATCCTACTTCCAACAAATGATTCTTCCCTGAAGTGGTAAGCAAAGCTCCCACCTCTCATTCCCGGAGGCTACACAGTCCACTCCGAGGAGCTGTAAGTTCTGAGTTCTGAGTTCTGGCAGGGGAACATACTACGAGTCCTAGAGTCGGATATAATCCCAGGAATGTGAGTATTTCGCGCGCGAGATCAAAGGCGGGATCTGTAATTGGAATCAATGTCAGGAATACAAATTGGAATGCACGCAACAGAAACGGAGCCCTCTTCCATACGAAGTAGGATCTATTGAAAAGTAGCCGCAATACGTATGCCTCTTCCCAACAGCCCAGAGCTAGAATATTCAAAATCTGGAGCAATGGATGACAAGATCCTGACTGTGGCACCGATATCTATCGTATTTCCGTCATATGTTAATTCTCCTAGACATGCGGTTTGTTCATCGATTTTGCATGTATAGTGATCTTTCGTAGGTGATGGATATAGACTGGTGTTGTTATAGAAGCTACGTTGGAAAGGTTTCTATGTTTACAAAGACAATCTACAATATAGAAAGATGAAGAAAAGAAAAGACTGAGAAGGGGATATCACTGTTGATTTTTTTTAAATTTGGATTTAGTTTCTATCCCGAAGAATGGGACAAAAGAATAGAAACAACGCTTTTTCTATGCCATCGCGCAATGTAAAGCATGTTTGGAAGCACAGAGGACTCATGAAACGCTCTGACAACAGAGGACTAGAAAAAATATCTGACCAGAAGAATGGTTTATACCGAGGCAGAAAAGTCATTCATGGCGGTTGAAAAGCGCCTAGAAGCGCAGATCCCAGCCGATCTTAGGGCCCAATCGGGGAAGCTCGTCAGCCACCTGCTGGACATCCTTGTCGCCACGACCACTCAGGTTGAGAACGATATTCTCGCCCTTCTTCATTGTCTTGGCGAGTTCCATCACACCCCAGACGGCGTGTGAGGACTCCAGAGCGGGGATGATACCCTCGTGTTGGGCAAGAGCACGGAATCCAGCAAGGGCCTGGCTATCATCGGCGGCGATGAAGGTGGCGCGGTTGTTGTCCTTCCAGTTGCTGAGTTCGGGGCCGACACCGGGGTAGTCGAGACCAGCAGAGATCGAGTGGGTATCGGAAATCTGGCCGTGCTCGTTCTGGAGAACGTAAGTGCGCACGCCGTGGAGGACACCGTGAGATCCGCCAGAGAGGGTGGCAGAGTGACGGTTAGTATCAACGCCATCACCGGCAGCTTCGACGCCAATCAGCTTCACGCTTGGGTCGTTGGAGAAGGGGTAGAACATTCCGACGGCGTTACTACCACCGCCAACACAGGCGACCACGGCATCGGGGAGCTTGCCGATCTGGGCCTGCATCTGCTCCTTGGTCTCGTTTCCGATGACGGACTGGAAGGTGCGGACGATGGTGGGGAAGGGGTGGGGACCGATGGCCGAGCCGATGATGTAGTGAGTGGTGTCCAACTCAACAACCCAAGCACGGAGAGCCTCGTTGACTGCGTCACGCAGTGTACGGCTGCCAGCCTCAACGGCGACGACTGAGGCGCCGAGGAGCTTCATACGGAAGACATTCAGGCCCTGGCGTCGCACATCCTCGGCACCCATGAAGACGGTACACTTCATACCAAATTTAGCACAAACGGTAGCGGTCGCAACACCGTGCTGGCCAGCACCAGTCTCGGCAATGATACGGGTCTTGCCCAAGCGACGAGCAATGAGAATCTGTCCAAGAGCATTGTTGATCTTGTGAGATCCGGTGTGGTTGAGATCCTCACGCTTCAACCAAATGTTTGCACCGCCGACATGGTCAGTCAGACGCTGGGCCATGTGCAGGCTGCTAGGGCGACCCATGTAGGGATAGTACGAGCGGAATTCCTCCCAAAACTTGGGGTCGTTATTGGCGACGTCGAAGCCGCGCTCGAGCTCGGCCAAGCAATCCATCAGGGACTCGGGGACATACTGTCCACCGAACTCACCGAAGCGGGAGGGTTGGGAAGAGACATCCTTGGTGACGTTAAGCGCCTCGATCTGGTCGGCCAGACCGGGTCCGGAGGGGGTATCGGCATCGGTGATGACCTTGGTAGGGTGGACCTGACCAGAAGGCTGTGCCTTCTCGATAGCCTCAAGAACGTTGATCTCGCGGGTGAAAGCGCCGGTGGTGTCTCGCTCACGCTTGCGCCCGGTAATGCTAGACAAGTACTCCTCGGCGGCCTTGGCTGCCTGCCCAGCAGGAGCCTTGCCGACACAAGTGATGATCTGGCTACCAATGACAACACCCTCGGCCTGGTCCTGGACGGACAGGAAGTGCTCACGGGTGCTCACACCGAATCCAAGTGCAGCAGGGACATTGCCGGAGTATTCGTGGACTCGGCTCAGAAGCTCAGGGATGTTAGCGCTCAATGATCCGGTGGCTCCAGTTACTCCCATGCGGGAAACGACGTAGATAAAGCTGTCTGCGATCTTGCAGAGAAGGCGCATGCGGGCATCGGAGGTGGCAGGTGCGATGAGAGGGACATATGAGAGACTGTAATAGAGTAAGCATACTGAGCTATCATAGAAAAGTGACAAATATATCAAAACAAGGTGAAGATCGGGATTACTTACCCAGTGCTTGAGCAAAGGTCACGGAAACGGACAGCCTCCTCCGGGGGCAAGTCAACCATGATAAAGCCATTGACTCCAGCCTCCTTGCAGTCGCGAAGCATGCGCTCCTCACCGTACTTAAGAACGGGGTTGAAGTAACCCATAAGCATCAGAGGTGCCTGCAGACCGCGGCTGCGGGCAGTGCGGACAAGCTCAAGGACAGTGGTCAGAGTAACACCATTCTCAAGAGCCTTGGTGTTGGCTGTCTGGATAGTGGGGCCATCAGCGATGGGATCTGTGAATGGGATACCAAGTTCAATGATATCTGTGATGTGAACCCGGGTGTTAGTAAAGATGGTCTCTTTGAACAACTTTCACTTGGGTTTGTACTCACCGGCACCGCCGTTCTCAAGACCGAGGAGGATATCAACCGCTTCCTCAACAGTGGGATATCCGGCTGTGATGTAGGCCACAAGGGCCGCGCGCTTTTGCGCCTTGCACTTGGCAAATGTCTGCTTGATAGCTTCCATAGTGAAAGGCAATGTAGAAAGAAGGATGTGGCGGGGTGATGGGAAGAAAGAAAAGAGGCCAATGGGAGGCAAACAGTCCCTTTATATACGTGCGGCGCCGAGACAATTTACGCGCGTTGATGCTGAGGTGAGGAATGTGATGAGATGATGTTATAAAAAGCAAACGTTCTGTATGACTCAAATGCAATTGCCCTTTTTCGAGGCCGGTGTCGCTGGGCCCCGCGTGTCCCGTGACCGGATAAGATAATTACATAGGTCAGCTGATCTTATCGCTTTATCATTTACCTCGGGATAGACCTCGGGAGGTAGGGTTGATGTGGTCACGTGGTATACTTTATATCGCCGTTCAAGGCGTTTTATCACTACGTTATAGTACAAGACAGAGGACTTTTTTACAATGATTTAAGTGAAGGTAATTTGAATGGTCTGGAATGCAAAAACAATGACTCAAAATTGGTGAAAATTAAGGCAGAAAAGCGGGATAATAAACGGTCCAACCGTTTTGTCCAAAACGCCAGAACAATGCAGTAGGTAGTAAGTGACAACAACCCTCAGCTGAAATAACAAGAAGTGGTAAGCACCGAACCAACTCCGAACAAAAAGTTTCAAAAAGAGAAGTGAAAAGTAAACAAGGACCCAACGAAGGAGCCGGAACAGAAGAGGGACTCCACTGTGTCAGGCATCCTCGCCCGAGTACCCCGTCCAAGATGCACCAAGGAACTGGACGAAATGGACGAACCCGCCAAAATATTCCAAGAAACAAAACCCCAAGTCTATCCCATTTCCAATCCAAAAAAAGAACCCGCGAATGCAAAAGGAATGACAAGCAAGCGCCCGCTATGCTGAATAGTAGTACAAAAGCCCAGAATGCATGTCTTATGCGCAAAAAAGGGAGTGGAAGCCGCAATGCCCGGCATGTGAATATGCAACCCAAGGAAGGAATGAACAAGACACCGTCTAGATGCGAGGAACAGGTGTCAGAGTGGAACAGAGTCCCAAATGTCAAAAAAGTCAAAAGCAGATATGCAAAGGCCGAAAGTTTGGGTGTATGGTGGGGACATCAGGCATCATAATGTTGTAGTGTAAGGAGGGACATAAAATCATGATCAATGTGCGGGATGCAAGGTCCAGCAGATACAAGGACCCTTGCTACCTTTTCAGGTGGGAAGGGACCTTGTCTCCGATGGACGGCGAACCGCTGTCTGGGCTTGGTAAGGAGTGACAGGAGAAGGAAAATCGTATCTTCAACAAAGGCAGAGAAGTATAAAAAAAGAGAAGAGGAAAACGCAGCAAGAAAATCGAATCGGAGGGCCAGCCAAGCGGGAGGGGATCACTGGCCGCCGTGGGCGGTATTGTGCATCGAGTACACAGGATCCAAGTAGGTATAGCATGCGCCATTTCCTGGTGCGCCGGTGGGAGGAGCGTTGTGGTTGATAGGCTGCATCTCCCAAGATGATCGCGCAGCCGGGGCTACCAGACCGTGTCCATTCTGAGGGTGGCAGATGGCCGGGTACGAGTATCCTCCAACAGATGTATAGGGCTGGGTTGCTGCAATCATGGACCGGTGGTCAGGAGCCGAAGACAAGTGGGAGGCAGAGTGGTCTGCCTGCGAGTAGGTTTGGACAGGCATCCCAGCGTAGGTGTTGCCAGCACCAGCGTCGGAGATGGACTGGGGGGAGTTGGCAGTGTGGGGCTCGGTACCGGAATCAGAACCAGTGCCATGACTAGCATGGCTGGTGTAGGTGGTAGTCATTGGTGTGGGGAGAGCACCGGCGGTTGAGGAATAGCTGGCAGACTAGACGGAAGACAAATATCAGTAACTTGTCAGGATGAGCTGTGGAGTTTGAAAGACATACGTATTTTCCAATGATCTTCTTCAGTGCGTGACCCAGGACCTTCCAGGGGAAGACCTTAACATCCTTCTCGATGTTGCGGGGTTTGGGAGCAGGGAATCCCATGATGACCTTGAAGAATTCCTCGCTCTCGACCTTGGCCTTGGAGACGGTCAGGGGGCGGAAGCCCTCCAAGTTGCGACGAATACGATTCTTCTCTTCGACAGTGAAGCGCACAGCCACGAGGGACTCGAGCAGATAGATGGTATCCACGCTGGTTACGTAGCACTCATTCTTATCCTCCCATGAAATGCAGCTGATGCAGATACTGCTCGGGGCGCGATCCTCGGGAGTAACAGCCTTGAACTCGCCCAGGATTGTGCTTCCAGTCTGAGAGCGGGTGAATTGCACCAGGCGACGTTGAGAGATGCGCTCCTCCTTCGACCAGCCTTGTGTCATAGTATCAAGATCTCCATTGAGCTTGAGAACAGCCTTGCTGGGATACATGGCATAGGGGTTGAAGGCTGGGTTGTGAGGCATGCTGTGCGTTTGAATAGTGGAGGTGCGGATCAAAGTAGGATTTGAACCACCACGCTGGGCAGGAGCCTTGTGCTGAGGAATACTCTGCGTCAAGAGACCTGAATTGCGACCATCATTGCTCACAGAGACGAAAGACGGGCTCCAGGCTGGGGTGATGGGGGAGGGTACTCGGAGGGCGGGTTGGGGGGTAGCAGACACAGAGGAGTATTGGCCAGAGCCGGTCTGGGGAGAGGATGCAGCGTGGTATGGTGCAACAAACCCGGCCATGGCGGGAAGGGGTTGCAAATAAGGCGAGTAGGACGCAGACACAGAGCGGCTGTGATAGCTCTCGTGGTGCTCAATCTTGGGGACCACAGATCCGTTGTGTCGCTTAGTAGATGCCACAGGAACATCGGAGTAGGAGGAGAACTTTCTCTTGCGGGAATCCGCTGATGGCGAAGGGTGGGAAGCTTGCTCATAGGTGTACACACCAACCTGAAGAGAAATGGCCGGACACTCATCCTGGGTCTCCATTGAGACGGACAGAGGAACAGCAAAAGATGGGGATCCAGTAGACAAGAATGCAGGTACATCAGCGGAAAGACCGTACTGGAACGCGGAGCCCTGGAATCCAAGGAAATGCGGGAGCGATTCACACTTCTTTGATCCAAAAACCACATACAAGGCTACGTATGAGGAAGCGTGAAGGTCATAGGGGCACTGGATCTGGACCATCACCCTGGTTCCTTCACTTCCCCGCTGGGGACTGTAAGTCACGATTTCGGGTAGCTGACGGTGGCGTGCGCCCATCATGGGCGACTGAGACTCTTCGTACGAGCTAGCGTACTCGTTGGGCAGATATGGAACGCAATCAGAGATCTGACTTGCCTGGTCGGCCATGGGTGAGGGAACCATCGGGGTCGTCACATAAGGCGATTGACCGTAGTTCGAGTAAGAAGCAGCATCATGCAAAGACCGAGTGGAACCATAATCTATATTTGGTCTCAGCATCGCAAAATCACGACAAACCAAGTTCTTCAGATGCAACGTACCTATTATGGCGCCGGCAACGGGCTTCTGGAAAGCAGACATGGACAAAAATGGTTCAGACTTGGCCCACAGGCCGTCTGAAAATGCACCGACAAACTGTGATTCTTCTGAGTCCGACAGATCCAACGACTCGCCGAGTATGAGAGGCGTTTGAAAATCCGGGTCGAACTGTGACGGAACAAGAGACAGGGTCAGCGGGAAGGTTTCTTGTGCACACAGGGGGAAAAAAAGGGCAAGGATGAAGATTCAAACAGGATAAGCTGGGATTGGAACACCTATGCAAAACATGCGGGCATCCATAAGGAAAGAGAGAGACAAGTTCAAAAGGTGAGAGAATCTTACCAAAACACCGTGAGTCTTCGAGTAAGCCAGCTTGAAGATGTTGCAGCGACTGCAACGAGACAGAACCTCCTGAAGCGAATGACTGGGAATTTATTCCAAACGATTGTAGGGTCGAAAAAAGCACGAGCGAGGATGGACTGCTCTCCGAGACAGAACGAGCGACAAGATGAAGCTGCTGACGGTCTCACAAAAAGGGCGGCAACAAAAGGCCTCGAATCACCATCCAGCAATAAAACCACTATAGCTGAGACTGAGAACGGCTGGCTGCAGAAATAGACTCAGATCTCGACCGTAGTGCCTAAAGGTTCATAAAGAGAAGCAAAAGAACCAGTTAAGAGGAGATATTCAAGAAAATTTCCACCGCTAATTGAGCCGGGAAGGGTCGAGATTGGTTGGAAGATGACGAGCAACGAGCGTGGGACTGGAGAGGTTTCGCTTTTCTTTATTGATCCGCGAGGTGTTTCGGGAAGAAAAAAGACTTCAAGCAGATTGGGCCACAATGAACAATATCAAGATGATAGGCTACTCAATTAATGAGTATACGAGATCGTTTTCAGACTATGGGAGAACCGGATCGGTGCATAGGGGCAATGAACTCACCGAGATGAATCAAAGTGAAAAAGAAAAAGAAGCTCTGATGTAAGACCAAATTCTGTTGTTGACCTTCCCAAGATAATATGCAAGATCCGAGGGTCGTTAAACCTGAAGGAGAGTCCGATGTCAACAAACACAGTTAACAATAGCGGGGACGGGGAAAGCCATCCGACGGCTTTGACACTATCGTCATTTCCTGTCGTTGGTATAGTCCAGAGAACACAAATTCCGGCTGCAAGGAGATAATACAAAAGATCAAGAAGCCTGAAAAAGGAAGTATGCAAGGCACGAGGGGAAAAAAGAAAAAAAACCAAGTGAGACCGTGGGCAAAGGGAGGCACATTTTGATAACTAACCTTAAGCTGATGAATCCGATCTGCCTGAATAGTTCCTTTTCTTGTATCCAATATTTCCCTAATGACTCTGAGACCCTTTTCCGAACAGAGATGATTCCGCTAGATTCTGGATCGAAGAGGTTGTCTTTAGCCGAGACAATAAAGCGAACGATTGAATTTCAATATCCAGTATCCAGTATCCAGTTGTCCAGCAGAGAATATAGCCTGTCGCAAGTACAAAAAGCTCGAATAGAATCCTTTTTTTTTTTTTTCGTGAACGTTGGAGGTTCAACTGAGACCGCGGAGCAAACGGGATCTACAGAGATATG